TTAATGAATTAATTCAAACCAAGGAAATGTTCATGAAAAGTTTGAATAAATTCTCTGCACCGGTAAAAAAGATATTGCTAAAAATCCGGGACCGCCGGGCGTCGAGAAGACTAGATTCGTAGCTTAATGTCAGTATGTAGAGTTGTCGTTCGTATCTCTTTCAGCGTATGACGCTACACTAAAAATGAGTTCCATTACGAAAAACTTTTGAGGTTCTTTATAATTTAGTTTTACTTTTAACGAAATCTAATATTCAAAATAAGATTACTTTATCATTACATTTACTTACATTTCAAATTATGAAAATTAGATCAATTCAGGAGAAAATGACATGAACTAGTTGGCGGATGTTTATGTATGTTTTCTGTTGAATATCATCGGAGTAAATCGGGCGACACAGTAGCCTCGCTTTCGACTCTATATAATCAACACAAATTACTGCGCATGTTAAATACGTGATGGCCATGGGAGATTGAACATAGTTCAACTCCCAAAAATAAGTTTATTTATGACAATGTAAGCAAAATGCTATTTTGATCTTGGACGTTCACAACCTACAACTTTAAGTTTTCTTGCTATTGAACCCATCTTTATAGTCACAATTTTTCTTTCTCAACGCTGTTCAAAGAATTCAAAGTTGATGCGGGTTTTCAAAAATTAAACTTCAAGAATATTAATTTCAGGGAAAATGACCCCTTTCCAGCCTTTTTATGGAATCTCTAGAGAATGTGAAATAATTTTATTTCATAAAGATAAAGATTTCAGAAAATTGACAAAATGATGTAAATTTGTAAATTTGTCAATTGTGTCTCACCACCTTTGTGAAAATTGGATAGCAGATTTTCATCTGTCTTCGATGGATTCACTGTGGAAATACGATATCGTATTTGGAGGTTGCGCCACGTGTTCATTCCATTTCTTACGAAAACATTGAAAATTAATTCAAAGTGTACAAACTCTACTGAATACCTTAATATTTTTTTTATTTATCCACGAACTTCTCTATAACCCCTCGGATATATAAATATTGGGTAAAATTTAGAAACCCCTTCTCGTCGAATAATTTCTTATTAACAATATCCAATTATATTTGTTTCTAAAACAGCCTCATATGGCCGCGAAGCTCATGAAATGGTACATCGTAAATTCACTATACTTATGGTTCTACAGTGTATAATTTTTTGTCCAAAATAATTGATTACTTAATTTAAAGTGGTAAAGTTGTAGTCAATGTTACTTATAAAAAAACTTGAAAAAAATGCCAAGTGGAGATTTCCCTTAAAAAATAATCGGTCTACAGAATTTAACAAGAAACGATAAAGCTATTCTAGCATATAGGTCACAGACAAAGTCACAAGGTCATTGACCTTGATATCATTTGAATGAAATTAGTTCAATAGTTATAGCGACAGTTTTAAAAAAAAGCTATTTTTAGCATATAGGTCACAGTCAAGGTCAGATGGTCAGTGTCCTTGAACAATTTGTAAGAGCTCAATAAGTGGAGTCTATATTCGAAATATTAAGTCTCTATCTTTAATGGTTCAAAAGTTATGGTGGAGGATCGAAAAAGCTTTTTTTAGCATTTAAGTCAAAAGGTCATGGACCTTGGCGGCATTTGAAAGAACTTAATTAATGGAGTATGCATATCAAATATGAAGTCTCCCTCTCTCATGGTTAAAAAATATGGTGAAGGTTAAAGTTGACAACAGACAGACAGCCAAACAAACAAGCGGATAAACAAACAGGAAAAAACATATATAATTATATACACCTCGGATCCATCGTTGCAGGCGCATAAAAACATGTTCAAGAAAGTAAAAATCATTTTATTAATTATGGTAATATAAGTTTTTAAAAAAAGAATATTCTGATGACTAAACTATCCTATTCTCACATCATTTCTCCAGTACATCTTCTGAGTCAAAGATATATTTTATGAATAAGTTCTGACTTTTTCCGTCTACTTTCATGATCTTATCTGTGAGTCAAGATCACGGTTCCTGTGTAACATTACTACATTGTATATGCATATAATTTCGCAAAATAACGCAAAAGGTACCCGTTATATCGCTAAAGTAACACGTTAAATCGCAAAAAAATTATAAACGCGAAGGTTTGCGTTTATTCGTGAAGGTTTTGCATAATAAATAGAAAGTTACTCGTTTATTCGTGAAAGTTTCGCGTTAGAACGCGAAATTTTTTTTAACTACGGAAATGAGCTCATTGGGCTTTCGTAATTACTGGAAACACTTAATGCATGACCATGCCATCTCTCACTGTCAAAGGTTAAAAATCTATTCATGGAGGGTAAAAAAAATAAAACACTTATCAACGTATGTTTCCTTCAATACATTTACTTGTAGATGACTCTACATGTTAATTCTTTTTTTTTAAATAATGACACCTGGGGGTACGGCAGGGCCAATTTGATATTGCAAGGGGGAATCAGGTGAAGAAAAGAAGGGTCAAGTTTACTTAGTGATGTGGCTCACTCACTGGTCTCTTGTTTTCGGGAAGCTATGCAATTCTGCAGCTAACCGTAAGGTTGGAATTCTAGTCGTTGGAGAGAATGGAAAAGTTCTAGCCCACAAAAACGCGCGTGGGCAAAGAAATTTATAAACTATGCATTGTAAAATGATCGAAATAATTATTTCAATAGTGGTCGTATTTCAATAGTGGTTACTAACTATGTTTGCTATTGAAATGCGCTCTCAGCCACTATTGATATATTATGATTTTAATAGTGGTTGTATTCTTATAGTGGTTACTAACTATATTTGTTATTGAAATGCACATTGAACCACTATTAATATAACTATTTCAATAGTGGTCGTATTTCAATAGTGGTGTCTAACTATGTTTGCCATTGAAATGCACTCTCAACCACTATTGATATAATTATTTCAATAGTGGTCGTTATTTCAATAGTGGTTGCAACAGGTATATATGGCTAAATTAAAATGACCCTAATTTCTTTAGGTATGCAGTTTAAAAATACGTCTATTGGGTAAAATTTTCGACTTTTTATTAAACCATTCTGAGAACTTTGAAGCTCGTTGAGATGCACGAGATGCTAAATTGTTGCATGAAAAAATTTAGTACTCAAGCTTTATTTTAAGACTTTTTGATATACAATATGAATTAAAGAGTTATTCTTCCTGGCTGGTGACCAGAATACATTGTATCTTAATAATAAAAGCTTAATCTATGAAACACCATGGGCCTTTAATTTGTTCTATCTAGCTGTTGCACTTCCTAACGTGTCTGTATTAATTTTAATGTATTTCTTGAAAAACGATAAAGTCATGATACCACAATGAAACGTCGCAAGAAACAGAAAAAATAGACAAAAACAGTGTTTACAGGTGCCAAGAGTCGCACATACAGCAACCATACTCGCACTGTATATTAGAAAACTTCATTTTCAGAAAAAATCTTAATCTTGTGAAATACTACATATATATATATAATCATAAACGATTTAAATACTATATACACATATCACATTTAGCACATACAGCGTCAGAAAATAATGTAGTGTATTTTGTGTTTAACATGTAATTTGTAAGAACGAAAAGATCCAGTAAAACTTATAAAACGGGTATATTCTAAGCAAGCTCCTTACATGTGTCCACCAGCACTCAATTCTACTTCATAAAATCATACTGAACTATAATAATTAAATTTTTCAGTCAAATATACTATCATTTCTGAAAGTTTAGTTTACATTTTCTGCTTCATTGATGTAAACCAATAGTAGAGGGTGTCCGAAACAAAGATTTTCTAGATTCGCACTTTACCAGCCGTGATTTTTTACAAGCTGTATTTTATCAGTTACATTTACCTCAGCTGTACTACTAATAATAAGAAATTAATCATTTTGGACTAAAAGTTATACCCTGTAGAATCATAGATTAAAAGTGAGTTAACAATGTATCATTTCATCAGCTTAAAGCTTAACAAAATAGAGGTACTATGAGCAATGACCTCACTAAATGATACCCCGCCTCTCATATCTATAAAATGGGGGTGTCCATGTTTTGCTATGTGAAATCCAAAATGTGTGTCGGATCAAAAGCAGAATAAGAGGTGCACAATGGAAATTCGTAATAACGATTCTGTGAAAGTTACATCAATTGATTTAGTGGTATGAAAGGAGTTGTGGATAGGAGATGGGTATCCTAAAGCATAACAGACGGACGGACGGACAGCTAGACGGCTTTTAAAGCAGGGGTATAAATATAAACAAAAGTAATGCAATATAAACAGCACGAACACGGGTCTCCATTCCATTCCGATACTTGTGACAATAAACTTTTTAAAGAAGTCAGGTCTAAAGAGTATACCCTGGTGTGGATGTTTCGCCGATAATGATATCGAAAATGGCGTATACGAATCGTGCATGTTCAACTTCTATAAAGTTATTGCTTGGTGGGTGTAAATTTAGGCAAAGTAAACTGGGAAATACGTGAATATTGGTCCCTCATCCATGAACAATGCCGATCGATTTCAAACGTTTTGTTAACCTCAGACTTTCGGATTCTTAAATCTACTCTGCTTTTTTGGTCGATGTACACAATGATCGTTTATTCCATATACTTAATTCGTTTCACTCCTTTGGTTTCAGCAACATACAGTTTGTCATTGCTGTCTATACTGAAACCACATAGATTATACAATTCACAGTTGTTTATAAACTTGAGAAATTGTCAATTCTGATCAATGATGTGTATGGTTTTATTACCACTGTCAGCTTTTAGTATATGACACATGCTGTCTGTGGTAATATCCTGTGGAACTAAGATTTTGCATCTCATATTGCTGTAGATAAATTTAAATTTTCCTTCATTGCTCAACACCATTACTGAATTTTTATCACTCATTACAATATCACTGTTCAAATTTTGATCAATACACTAAGGCAAGAATATTGAATATAAATCCTTTTCCAAAGCACTTAATTGTATTTCTTGTGTGACTGTACAGCTAGAATAACGTACAATCCTTTTCTTCATGATACTCTTTATTTTATCTCGGGATATCATATGTACTAAGAGGTCACCTGTACGAGTGCTGCAGATAACATCTGGAATCCATTCTTTTTGTATTTGAAGCAGACATTTTGTCTCATCATCCTCTACTCTGTCAATTTTTCCCTCCTTCTTTTCAATATACACCAAGTGACCCTCTCTTGTTACTGTCAAGGCATATGGGTCATCATTTGTGGAGATTTGTTTCAGCACTCCTCCCTCTTTGTTCGGCTGTTTAATGGTTCCATCAGAGCCACTGACCCAGAAGTGATCTGTGTAAGGAATACAAGCTATGTCACTAATTGCTTCATCACTTTTTATATCTCCTACTGTAATTGAAAAATCAAGAAACTTCTTTACACCTTTATTTGGACTGTTCACTGATTGAGGATCTTTTAGGACCTGCCCCTGGATAAAAGTTTTCTTCGTTTCTGGAATGTCTCCAATCATCTGATAGAGTGCTTGCTCTGTGAGTTCTTTGGGTCTGAAATCTGGCACTGTTAGTTTAAATCTCTAAGGAATACTTCTGAACTTTTCATTTTTTGAAATGTACTTGACAAATTTAGATGGATCATTTGAGGCAAGGATAGATTTGTTTTCATCCATTGCTGATTGAATTAACAAGTAGCGTTTCTGGAAATCTGCCTCCAGGTTCTTAATTTCATTAACTTCATCTATTTCCAATAATTTTGCATCGTTCTTATATTTTTCAATGGCATTGGTTATTAATTTCTGACATGTTTTACCAAATTCATCAATAGTTCTTTGTCTTTCAGCATGTTTTTGTACAATACCTGATAACATTGCACCTAATTCAGAGATAATTAAATGATACTGTGCAATGCTAGTTTCAAGTTCAATTAAATCTTTTCTGATGAACTCTTGTTTAGAACTGTAAATTTCAGAAATCTTCGGTACATTGTGATTTTCATGATATCCTGAGGCTAGACATTTGAAACATATTGGGGAATCACATTGTTCACAGAACATTTCACATTTGTCTCCTTGGTGTAGACTACACTGAGATGGAATAAGTTCATATTTTTTAACTCAAAAGTAACCACACCATGTTCTATTATGGGATTGGAGATCATATGATGACCTACACATTCCTCACAAAGGTCGACTTGACATTTATTACACAGAAATTCTGCAGCAGACTTTCTGTCTTTCCAAGGGCAGAGCTACAGCGTTTCGCATCCTGACCCCTGTTATCATTGAGAACTGTTGATTATGCCATGTTGCCTTTATTGAGGAGTTTATTGCACCTGTGCCAATAAAGAGAACATTAGGGTTTTTATTATGATACACAAAATATTTATTGTCAACTCAAAATTAAATCTCTTCTGATGTGACCTCTTTGAGCAATCCATTAATTTTCATTTGGAATCGAGAATTGCAATATACATATTTCAAATAGTGTTTGTTACGCATGTGCAAATTTCCCTTTCTGCGTGCCTCTTCTGAGGCGATTAATAAGAGAATTTTATTTTTTTTTTTAAAATCATAAGAAATGAGAGGGATGCATTCCTAGTCGAATTCTCATCTCATATTATGCTATCCTTAATTCAAGGAACTCTGATTCTTCAACTAGCGTCTTAATTTCATAACTATAATGGACTCTGTAGAAGATTCCAAAGAATCAAATTGATTTTGAATACCATATATGTATTGGATTGCAAAGCTTCAAAAGAAAACTTACATAGATACATTGCAGGTTCCAGTAAATTTCTTCCAAGCCAGTTTCTTTACTCCTCACTAATACTCAGTGTATTAACAGTAGCGAAGAAGAAGTTTCAAGAGTACTGTTCAATAATATCTTTGAGAAATGGTGTAAATTAACTGTAAATACTAAAAAAATCCTAGAAATTTAAGAACATTCTAAATCACAAACTTTTAACAAATCAACAACATATATCAAAACTTACGACATTTTGACTTTATAAACAACCATCCCTAAGATAAATTAAGATCTAGGCTTTCTCACATCATTGACAGCTCTTTTTTTCAAATAAAAATTGAACATGTAAATCTACTCTTGCAGCTTGCAATTATTCATTTGCAATATTACTTTATTAAAACATTCTGATTGTACACACGTACTCTAAAGTAATGATTAAAAAAATGCTCGTGTCTCTGATTGACAATATCTGTGTGATGCAGGCTTGGGGCGAATTACATTGAAAGTAATGCATTACCGTTACAATTACTTCAACAATTTGGGCATTAAATTACCATTACCATTACACCATTTTCTTTTAGTAATGCATTACATTACCATTACTTTAGTAAAGTAATGCATTACCATTACCATTACTTTTGGAGGTTTTTGAAAATAGAATTTTATACAAAACTTTGCAATATTTTTTTCATAAGCATGTATCCACCCCCTTCAAAACAAAACATGATAAATGATAATTCGAATTTGATTTCAAGTTTTTGTATATAAACAATATCATTAACTTACAATCAAAGAAAGTACAAAGTTCTGAATTGTCAGTTTTATAACACATGTACAATATCCACGTTTTGTGTAACTATTGAAGTCATGAAGTAATTTAACTTTTGGGGCACTTTAACCCCTGCCTAAAATATCTAATAATAAAGCATATAGGCTATTTTGATTAGTACCTTATGAAAAATATAAATGCATCAATTTGACAAACTTTTTGAAAAAGTAGACAGGGTGTACACAGTGAAGCATAGAATGCCTGCATGGCTTCAATTTTCTTTGGTACAATGGATTTTTCATGGTCAGTACAAGGTAAATCAGCTCAATTAATGTTTTAAAAACACAATCAGGAGAAAAGGACTGGTAATTTGGAGCACTTCTCCAAACAATGCATAATGTTTTAACTGTTACATAACCCAGGGGCATAGTATGTTTTGGTGACACTCTAGCTATTCAAAAGGTACCAATTATCAGTTTACGGTGTACATTAATTAGTGTATCTGGATCATATGCGATTTTTTTAAAAAAGATCCTTTAAAACTATTTTATATAATTCTTTGAAATCAATTCTTATCTGAAATAAGTTTGAAAACTTAAATGTAAGGTAGGTATACTTTCAACAGAATAAAAAGTGTATTTAAATAGATACAGGAATGTTATCTGAATAAGTTAACATTAGGTCACCTGAATAACTCAGGTGACCTATTGCTATCCGTTTTCGTCCGTCGTCGTGCGTCGTGTGTCGTGTGTTAACATTTGTACATTTTCAGCTTCTTCTCTGAAACCACTGAACCAATTTCAACCAAATTTGGTATACAGCATCTATGGGTGAAGGGGAACAAAAATTGTGAATTTCATGGTCCCCGCCCCCCTGGGGCCTGAGGGGTGGGGCCAAAACCACTAAAATTATTGCAATCTTTAAAAATCTTCTTCTTTACTCCTGGACATCAAGCAGACAAACTGTTAGCAGGAATGTAATAAGCATTGAGTCCTTTACCAAAATTGTGAAATTCATGGCCCCAGGGTCAGGGGTTCTAGTGCTAGGGCGGGGCTATATAGATTATTTAGTGAAAATGCATTATTTCTTTGAAAATCTTCTTCTCTGCTCCTGGGTATTAAATAAACTAACTAAGTACATAGTTATGATGAGCAAGAGTGCCTCTACCAAAATTGTGAATTTTATGGCCCCAGGGTCAGAGGTTCTGGTCTTAGGGCGGGGCTCTATAGATTATATAGTGAAAATGCATTTATTCTTTGAAAATCTTCTTCTCTGCTTCTGGGTATTAAATAAACTAACTAACTACATAGTTATGATGAGCAAGAGTGCCTCTTCCAGATTTGTGAATTTTATGGCCCCAGGGTCAGGGGTTCTGGTTTAGGGCGGGGCTCTATAGATTATATAGTGAAAATGCATTTATTCTTTGAAAATCTTCTTCTCTGCTTCTGGGTATGAAATAAACTAACTAAGCATATAGTTATGAAAAGCAAGAGTGCCTTTTCCATAATTGTGAATTTTATGCCAATGATCCAAGTATATATATTTATGATGAAGAAAGGTGCATCTAGCAAAATGTTTTTTTTTTTCAATGCCTGGAAGGGGGGGGGTGGTACATAATCTGAAAATAAATTAATGCTTTGAAACCTGCTCTTTGGTATTAATCAACCATTTTATGATAAAATTTGCAAAATTTTGAAATATGTGGCCCCAAGGTCAGTGGTTCTTTTGGGTGAGGTGCACAACTGGTTATAAAGTGGAAGAACATTTTCTCTTTGTAACTCTGATCTACCTCTGGGTATTGAGTAAGTAGAGTATTTTTAATTATGATTAGCAATGGTGTCTCTTTCAAAATTGTGAATTTCATGGCCTCTGGTTTAAAACACGAACCAAATTTAATTGTTTGAAAGTTGTTACACAATACTCAGGTGACCTATAAGGCCCGTGGGCTTCTTGTTATTCAATAGTATTATTTCCAAAAAAATATACATATATATAATTGAAAATAAATGAATAAAATAAATAACCTAAACAATAATTTCCATCATCCATGTCCATTTAAATGTCTTAAAATAGGCACTTATCTTACAAAATAATGCTGTGTAATGCTATGTAATGCCAGCATTATACTGGATTTTATCAAGTAATGCATTACATTACCATTACATGTAATGCAAATTTTGGGGCATTACACATTACTAGCATTACTTTGAGTTCATGTAATGCATTGCAATGCATTACCATTACAATTAGCATTACCCCAAGCCTGGTGTAATGTTTGCAAACCAAGTCTTCAAACAATATATTGGAATTCCCATGGGTACTAATTGAAGCAGAATTTGTTAAAATATTTTCGTGAAATGAAGAAAACACTTGCTGCGGCCTTCAACTCGACATTACATACATGTACTAGTTTATCCACCACATATTGTCAATTAACAATAGTTATTTCAATACTTATAATTATGTCGGCACGTTATATCTCGGTAAGCATAAAATACACTGTAAAAGATACCACAGAGTATGACACATCTGTTTCATATTTGGATATTTTACTAGAAAAAGACATTCATGCTTAATATCTAAAAACAGAGCTTTCTGTAACATCGAGGAAAGCTGGTGACCGTAATATAATCCATGTCATCAAAACATGTCCACCGAGCAAATCGGTTGAACATTTTCATTGAAGACCTGCAAGTATATTTGTGTAAATTACGCAAAAAATTGAACATTTACTATAGCAAACTTACAATTAATAATCAAAACTTACCTAAATCAAGAAAATAAATTTTTAGTACCAATTCAAAGTTTAGGAGAATGATGACCTTAACAAAATATTAAGATGGCCGTTATCTCTTTTTTCAATGAATTTGGGTGATCGTAATATACGGACTTAAAAACGATTTATTTCTTTCCTGTTGTAGAATTAGATACATATGGCAGCTAGCAAGAAAACACCATTCTAGACACCAGAGGTTCCCTTAAATTGTACATCAGTAGGGGGACCAGAGGTCACCTTATATTGTACATGTACATCAGTAGGAGGACCAAAGGTTACCTTATATTGTACATCAATAGGGGGACCAGAGTTACCTTATATTGTACATCAGTAGTGGGACCTGAGGTAACTTGTACATCAGTAGTGGGACGACCTGAGGTAACTTGTACATCAGTAGTGGGACAAGAGGTAACATTATATTGCACATCAGTAGGGGGACCAGGAGTAATCTTATAATGTAAAATCAATACGGAAACCAGAGGTCTCTTCACATTGTAAATCAATAGGGAATTTGGAGGTTAATTTTTATTTTATATCAGGAAGACATCAGGAAGAGAAGAGTTCACCTTATATTGTAA